TACTTTAAAGTGCATAAATAAGTTACCCGGGCAATTGATTTGCACAAGCCAATCAGACGAATTTCAGCCCATGAATTCGTGATATCTTTCAAGTCGTCCCGATTTCAATCGGAAATATCGAAAACATCTTGCTCGAAAAACTTTTTGTTAAAAAAGTATGTTCCAAGTGGGTTCACTGACGAAAACAAGAAACAATGAGTAAAGATTTCAAAGTAATTATTGAAATATTTCAATAATGGTTTTCGAAATATTATTACTGGTAGCGAAACTTGGTTTCATTTTTACTGTTTCATCAAACGAATCTAATAAAGTTTGGATAAAGAAAGGCGAAAATCATCCTCAAATCACAAGAACGCGTAAAGTAGTAAAAAGCAAATGTTTTGTATTTTCTTTTCGATAAATGGAGTTCTGACAAGTATGGTAGTTAAAAAAGGTCAAACCATTAATGGTAATTATTATAGTAACGTCGTATTTCCAAATGTATTTGATAACTTTAAAAAAATTCGTAACAGAAATACTGCTCGTGACGTTATACTACATTACGATAACGCGAGACCACACAAAACAACAAATGTTACTGAGTATCTTCGTAAAGAACGAGTTGTATTCCTCACCCCCCTTACAGTCCTGACTTAGCTATTGTGATTTTTTTTTATTCCCAAAAATTAAAAAAGAACTGTCCAAGAGCTTGCTCGTGCTGTAAAATCAATAGTAGGTAACATATCACAAGAGGAGTATTTTAATCATTGTATAGAAGTTAATGGGGGTTATTTCGAAAGAATGGAACCATTAGTTTAATATTTTATATGTAAATAAATTTATTTGCTTGTTCTCCAAACTTTTTGATCACCCCACGTAGAATCACACAAGGTCGAAAAAAAATAGAATCACGCAAAGTCGAAAAAAAAATAGAATCGCACAAAAAAGTCGAAAAAAGAATTACGCAAGGTCAACGTAAATATCAAAAAATCACGTGCAGAAAATCTTTGGACAAACTCGCTCTTAATAATCATCATTATTTAACAAATTGGCAAGAAAAAAAAAATTATAGACATTTTTTTGAGTACTCGTAAATATACAAGTTAAAGAAACGAAACGAAAATATTATCATGCAATGACATTATGAATCTAAGTTTTCAAAAATCCTCGACCACGTAATAATTGTTTCTCGCGAATCATCTCTAATACATGAGACATTCCCTTCCGACTCTAATAATTTTATAAACTTTATCAATGAATTGTTTTATTAATATTAATTATTTCGACAAATAAAATTGACCTTTACCTTTGTGGCGCTATCTGCAAATTTCTTTATTCCAAAACCTTCAACTCGTTCTGTTAATCCCCATCCAAAATTACTAATTACCCTGGCTTCAGTTTTAACTTGAGTGAATTCGCGATTATTAGGGTCGACTCGAAAAGTTTGCCACTCTTCAACTTGCATTAGGCGTGCATGTGTTATATTTTTCGTAAGTGTAATCATCGTTTGGGTCTTTGGGTTGATCAGCGATTCTTCAATAATATATGCTTCAGGTTTTTTAATTAACTACAAATAGATATATAACACATTAAAAAAAAAAATAAAAAATTATAGTAATTATATGTGTAATTATATGTGTAATTATATAAAAGCTTCTTAATCCTCATCCACAAATTATTTTACTAACCCCCTTTCCCCATTTTGGCAAAACACCTCGTTTCAAGATTAATCTTGTGGTCCTTAATACACCAGTCTTCGGATCAACATACCTATCTATCACGTCAACGCTTTCAACGTGTGAGGCGAAAGGGTTAGGATATCGTAACCAAAAAGCTAAGGTCACGCTATCCCAGTTATATCTACAAGCAATCCAAATCTGAAGTTAGGCATTACGAATGTCAAATTTTAATTTGAAACAATTAAATACTATAAACACCTAATAAACTGTTGAACTTACTCGTATTTAAATGTATGTTGAAAGAACTTGACCATTATAAGTTAGAATGTCTAAAGTATTAAGTGAACGTATTTTTCTAAAATTAGGACAGTTGCTTTCGTTCTTTTCAAGATAATTCACGCGAGGTTGTATTTTTTAAGTTATTCATAATATGTAGAGATGCTGGTGAAATTAATTTCACCAATTCAACTACAATTTCACCAATAATGGTGAAATTTCTCACTATATAATTTTATTTCACCAGCATCTTTGATTCTATTTATCGAATTGATGTACATGACGAAAGAATCTAATGACGTAAATGAGTAGCAATTCACGTACGTACGGATTTTTTTGTTGGTTTTTTTTTTATCGCAAAGAGCAATATTCCCTTGCCGCCATTTCAAGTATTTATACTTAATAATAGATCTAATTGCCATCTATCCGCTGTAGTTTAAATTACACAAAGATTAGAATAATCGCGTGGGATAACACAATCGATCAATAAATTTTTGTGCGGTACAGCTGATTTGGAAAGAACTTCCTGATTATCTACGGTCATGTTCTTAAAATAGGTGTGCTACAAGGATTTCTATAGTTTAATCTTTAATCGATAATTCCATAATCGGCTGGGCCGGAATTACCAATTTCGCTTAAGATCACTCAAAATTTTACTGACGAATCTGCAAGTAACTGAAATTTGCTAGAAAATTAAGCAATGCCGTTATCTAGCTATATACACATAATTGGCTTCGAAGATAACAAAACCTAATACACGTATAATTATGAAAATTTTAATTAAAACTTTGATATGGTTTAATAACACAATCTCGATATCAGATGCAAATTAAAAAAAAAAAAAAATTATACTGTATATACATATGTAACTAACTCTTTCTGTATTAAGAAAATAAAAAAATTTTCAGTTTATAAAAATACTGTATACTTAGTGTCTAAACCAAACTTATGTTTGGTTCAGGGTTTAAACAGAATTTATTACGTATGTTCGGTTTATCCATATTTGGTTTAAAAAAAAGACTTTTTTGAAAATATCTAATTCAATCGAAAACCTTTTTTTTAAAAAAAATAATAGTATTAGGGTTAGGTTATGTTCGGTTAAAGCAATAATTAAAAACCGAAATGTAACAAGAAATTGTTTTTTAAAAAAAATTTATATTGTAATCGCTTTGATTTTTATAATAGATTTCACGTGGGCTGGTCTAGATATTTCGAAGTTTAGATTTAGTACTAGCCTAGCAAAAAAAAAATAGGGGCTGGTATTCGTACCCCCAAAATTTGGTATTCATACCCCCACGTAAATTAAAACTTTGAACGAAGATATCTCGATAACCAGCTGACTAAATTCGATGAATTTGGTCAGGTAGTTGTCGAGATATCTTCGTTCAAATTTTTAGAAAAAAAATCAAAACGTTTATCAAAACAAAGCTGCGCCAAAATTTTTCTAAACCTTTGAGCGAAGATATTTCGATAACCACCTGGCTAAATTCGATGAAAACTTTTTATTTGAATTCTAGAGAGCTTTAGAATTCAAATAAAAAAAATTTTGAGATATTTTCATTCAAAGTTTTAAAAAAAAATCAAAACATCTATCAAAACAAAGCTGTGTCAATTTTTTTTTACAAAGATATCTCAACAGCCACATAACCAAATTCAATGAAATATTTTTCATTTGAATTCTACAGATCTGTAGAATTCAAATAAACAAGTTTTTATCGAATTTAGCCAGGTGATTATCGAGATATCTTTGCTCAAAATTTAGAAAAATTTTGGCAGTTTTGTTTTGATAGATATTTTGATTTTTTTCTAAAGCTTTAAATGAAAATACCTTAACAATTACCTGATCAAATTTGATAAAAAGTTTTTTATTTGAATTTTACATATCTGTAGTATTTAAATAAAAACAATTTATTGAATTTAGTCAGGTGGTTGTCAAGATATTTTTATTCAAAGTATTAAAATTTTTAATTTTTGTGAAGATATGAATACCAAATTTGAGGATATGAATACCAGCCTCCAAAAAATATTATAATCTATAAGTAATGTTACAGTACCGTGGCTTTCTTAACAGCAGTACTATAACAATGACATGGCTACAGGGATCCTTTACAGGTTTATAG